CAGAATCCAAGTGGGCGGTCTCGGGTCTTGCCAGGCACCTTCTGCCAGAGGCTCCAGGAGAGACCCTTATCCCCAGATGCAGAGTAGAGCACATTCTTCACATCTGGCCCTGTCCTGACTGGCCCAAGGGCTACAGCATGGGCAATCTCCTGTTTAATCTGTTCAAATGCTTGCTGTTGTTCAGGACCCCACTGGAAATCATTCTTCTTGCGGGTTACCAGATGGAGAGGGCTTACGATCTGGCTGTACTCGGGGATATGCATTCTCCAAAAACTAATGGCACCCAGGAAAGCTTGGGTTTCCTTCTTGCTAGTTGGGGGGGCCATTGCTGCGATTTTATCGATGACTTCAGTCGGGATCTGGCAACGTCCATCTTGCCACTTTACTCCTAGGAACTGGATCTCTCCGGCAGGTCCCTTGACTTTACTCTTTTTGATGGCAAACCCAGCCTCCAGGAGAATCTGTATGATCTTCTTTCCTTTCTCAGAGACCTCTTCTGCTGTGTCCCCCCATACGATGATGTCATCAATGTACTGCAGGTGTTCTGGAGCTTCACCTTTCTCTAGCGTAGCCTGGATCAATCTGTGGCAGATGGTGGGACTGTGCTTCCGCCCCTGGGGCAGTCGGTTCCACATGTACTGCACGCCCCTCCATGTGAAAGCAAACTGCGGCCTGCACTCTACTGCCAAGGGAATGGAGAAGAATGCATTCACGATGTCAATAGTGGCGTACCACCTCGCTGCCTTAGACTCCAGCTCGTACTGGAGCTCCAACATGTCTGGAACAGCGGCACTCAGTGGCGGGGGCTTCATTCAGGTCACGATAGTCCACAGTCAATCTCCATTCTCCATCAGATTTGCGCTCAGGCCAGATGGGGCTGTTGAAGGGGGAGTGGATCCTGCTGATCACTCCTTGGCTCTCCAGCTCGCGGATCATCTTATGGATGGGAATCACAGAGTCTCGGTTCGTTCGGTACTGCCGACGGTGCACTATTGTAGTGGCAATTGACACTCGCTGTTCCTCAACCTTCAACAGTCCCACAGCAGAAGGGTTGTCCGAGAGGCCAGGTAGCGAATTCAACTGCTTAGCTGCTTCTGTCTCCACAGCAGCTATCCCGAAAGCCCACCTATGTCCCTTGGGGTCTTTGAAACACCCATTCCTAAGGTAGTCAATGCCCAGGATACATGGGGCATCTGGACCAGTCACAATGGGGTGTTTCTGCCACTCCTTTCCGGTCAAACTCACTTCAGCTTCCAACACGGTCAACTGCTGCGACCCTCCTGTCACCCCAGAAATGGAAATAACCTCTGGTCCCACATGTCCTGAGGCCATTAACGTGCATTGAGCGCCAGTGTCAACCAAAGCCTTATATTCTTGTGGGTCTGATGTGCCAGGCGATCGGATCCACACCGTCCAATAGACACGGTTGTCCCGTGCCTCTACCTGGCTAGAGGCAGGGCCCCTCTAGTACTGGTTTCTGTCCTGCTCATCACAGGTTTCCGTCTGCAAATACTGGCGGGAGGTACCTTCTAGTGGGTGAGATCTCTGCCTACGGGATACCGGCACTGCACTCACTTTCACAGAATTTGTTTTTCTCTGGTCCTTTAACTCTTGTACTCGGACTGCCAAGACATGGGTAGGTTTCCTGTCCCACTGTCTCATGTCTTCTCCATGACCAGATAGGAAATGCCACAGCTTGGTTCGTGAGGTCTGTCTACCCCCTCTAGCTGGGGAACACCCGGTTCTCACTGGTGCCATGTGGGAGGTGTTTCTCTCAATCTTTTCTAGCATTTTCTTTTGTTGATCTTTAGTTGTGAAGCTATGGTAGTGAGGTTATCGATTGAGGTCTCTACAGAGGAAACACGGGTTTGTAGTGATTCTTGGACCATACTGTAGTACATTCGAAGTTTATTTACTATAAGCGCCACTGGCTCACTCTTTTCCCCAGCATCCAGTGATGTCAGGTAACTGACATGTGCAGGTGGCCCCATATGCATGAAGTCCCACCACATGTATGGTGTACATCTAACCTGGTCAGGATCGTGACTAGCTGGCATATCTCCTCTAAACAGTACTTCCAACAGTGCCATTTCCCTCAGGCGTCGGATCCCCTCCTCCATGGTATTCCAGCTCTTCGCAAAATGGTCTTTCTGCAAGGCCTCTCTGTAAACGAATTTCCCTCTCACAGCATCCAGCAGCCGTGCCCAGAGAGACAGGGGCTTTGATTCTCTCACAAATGTCTCCTCAAGGCCCACATCCTGGGCAATAGACCTCAAGTGCCTTGCTTCACTGCCATCAAGGTTTATGGCATCACCCGTAGAGTCCCATACACAGATCATCCATGTCAGTATAGGCTCATTTGGGTGACGAATGACGTCTGCCCGTAATTTCCGGAGGTTGTCAAACAATAAGGACTCAGTGATGATTTCTGGCTCCGGGTTGGCTGTCTGTGAGGGTCCTGCTTCCCCATCATCATCAACTGGGCGGGCTGATTTGGTCTTATATTTCTTCTTCTGGATAGGGCAACCTCCATTGACTTGTTTGGTCCCTTGGAGCTGGCCTTATCTGGAGTCACCCTTGAATCAGACCTCTCGTTTTCATCTTTTCCTTTTCTCTGTGAGGGCTGCACCATACCGAGCACCTTTTTGTAGGCAACGGCTAAAACCCCACATGCATCTACCAACTGCCTCTTTATGGGTTTATCATGACCTCTCTCCCTCACAGCTGGTATTATCTGTGTAGGGTTTAGGAGTTGTTTGAGAGTGAACTTCCATGCTGGAGGAACTGAATCACTTTCTAGAAATTTACCCAAGTCCTCCCATGACCCATGCCATTCGAGTTTTTCCACCCCTGGGGCTGGCTTCTGTGCCCGTTCCTAGTAAATCCTGGGCCTAACCACGAATATTAGATATGACACCGTGGCAATAGATATGACACCTTGCACAAAAGAGAAAATGTCTCTTGCATCTAAAGAGAGTTTAAATTTCTCAGAGGCCATTGTATTGGAACCAAAGGGAAAATGTATGAAGGGCTGGGCAAATATATCCCTATGTGTTTCTCCATAGGCATAGGTGCCATTATCCTTAAAACCCCAAAGGAGACAGTGTAGGTTAGAGCAGTAATATATCCGTGAGAACATATCCTGAAGGAAAATAACAGGTGTCGAGTTTGCTATGTCATAAAACCAGTGCGAGATCTCAAACATACTTATTGCAATGAGGGTCATAGTGTCTGAGCTGAAAAACATCGACAGGTGGGACATAGATCTCGGCATAATCATATACCACAGAAAAGCAGCATTCTTAGACTTTATGGTGCTTACAGGTTCACAAACACGTATAAAGTCATACAAGGGCAGTTATTCCTTTTCCACTTTTCCTCTCTCAGGCCCCACGTTGGGAGTCAATAAATTTCCCAGTTTAAATGAGACAAAGGTCTTTTGCTGAGGATGGATTAGGAGAAAAAGACCCAAACTTCCTTTTCTAAGCAATTATAAATCCAAAATTAAGAGACTCCGATTGAAGGAAAACAAATTATGGAAAAGGGAAAAATAACAGCCCTTTATTAAAAGGTATGTGTGTATTAACAGGAACAAGAAAAAAAAAAAACAAATAAAACAACCAAGCAATACCCGTATACCCACCAATAATCCCCTTCAAGACCAAACTGATAAACCGGTAAAAGGAAAATTTAAATAGTTCAATTTTTAGCACCCTTTGGTGCAGTTCCAGCCACAGTCAGCAGGGGGCGCCGTTGGGTCACTGGAGATGCAAAATTTGTAACCTCTTATACCATTCACCAGGTGGCACTGTTGAGTTATCAAAGGTGCAGAACTTGTAATGTTCTATAGTAGTCACCAGGTGACGCTGTTGTATCACTGGAGGAGTAGAACTTGTAATGTCCAGTGCCCGTCACCAGACGGCGCTGTGAGATCCTTGGTTGTCACCAGGTGGTGGGGGAGGAGGGGGGAAAGGGGGAGGGAAACAGAAAGTTCTCCCAATGGAAGAAAACTCACAATTTTCAGTTGGTGAGGATTTCGCGGTGAGCCAGGCCTGCAGCCAGCAACAGGTACGCAGAGAACAGCAGTAAAAACTCTCCTCCGACAGGAAAAGACAAAGAAGAAACCAGGCAGTCTCTCCTCCTTGCTGCAGCCTCCTCTCCGGTTCCAGAGCTGAGCTCCAAACCCCCAGAGCTGAGCTCCAACCCCCCAAACCCCACCTCTTTCCACACAGACACCCTAGCCTTTCCCAATTCCTCCCCCTTCGTTGCTAGGCAACTAATGTCTCGGTCATTTTGTGGTGGAGGCCAATTCTTTTGTTTTACCTGATGGGTAATCCACAGAGCATACATGCGGGGGGGGGGAGGGGGGGAGGGAAAGAAAAAATTCCTTGCTAAAATCAGAACTATGACATATACCAACTACTACTTTCTACTAGAAATACAAAGTACAACTCTATGTGTCTGCTGCGGGAAATGTTAACTCCATCCCACTCAGACCCAGTGCGGGAGGGAAATGAAAAACCAAGTATTCTGTTTTCATGCACAAAGAAATTTCTCTGGTCAAAGCCCTGCATACTCTTACTTTACACAGAAGGGAGCTTAAAATAATTTGATTTTATAAACTTTAGGCCAAGCTTTTTAAAGTTGGATGGAAAATTTAAATTCCACCAAAAATTTACATGAATAAAGTGACTAGTGTCCCTGTTAACTCCTGTTTTTTCTCACCTAAAAGACTTCCTAAAGTTTGTTTCTCATGCCAGGTTATGTTCCAGACACTACTCAAAACTCAACTGATATTCCAGAATGACATTTAGAGAAACCCATTACACTTTAAACATTTTTTTGCATGTTTGGTATTGTGATGGCGTTAATTTGTCTAAACTGAAAATCTAGAAAGAATTTTAGAAAGTCTTTGAATTAAGTATTAGCTACATATGTGAAGATACCAGTTTTTAAGCTGACAAATTTTCTGTGCTCTGGATGTCTGCCTACTGCCTGTGTTCAACTCTGAAGAAGAGAAAGAAACAACCCTTCCAGCAAGAAAGAAGGCATTAACATCTGAGATCAGCCGGCTGAGAATTGCATGAAGGTTTAATGGCAAAGTTTCCTCATCTGTAGTTTGAGTACAAGTAAGATCTCAGTGTGATCCTGAACAACGTCTGAAAGTGCTTTTTGGGGCCTTTTGTGCATGGCTCATGGGACTTAGCAGATAATTCCACCAGTGGCTTAGATGTTGCTTTCCTGTTAGTGCCAGTGAACAATGACTGTCTTACCTGCCCTGCAAAGTGAAGACGGAGGCGGGCCAGAAAGTCAGGAAAAGTTACAGTCTTATCGAAGTCACTGGAACTTAGAAGTTTTATCTAATGGTGTTTTCAAGTTATAACTTTAGTAGCTAAAACCATAGAATCCAAGGGTCTAAACTGCTAAAATACGTAATCCTTACGAGTCCCGCCTGTGGCCAAGGTCAACACTGCCACCTGTCTCCACCAATCAAATACCTGTATCCCAAGGTTTTTTTGTTTATATAATAGTCAGACTGAATATACTCCTATAGCTGTGGTAATAAGAGAACCCATTGCAAAAATCAGAAAGGACATTTGCTTTATTGGCAAATCTCTTGCCCTGAATTATTGCATTTAACCATTTTCTGTTTGTTTGGTTTTCTTTTCTAAAAGAATTTAGAATTTCTTACACCAGTATAATAGGCATCATGAGTTTTAAATATAATATCTTTTAAGATGTGTGGGAGAAAACCAACATGATTATTATATTTATTTTAAGACGTCCAGAAAAAAATTGGAATCCAAGTAATGTGAAAGGCCTTGTTGTGACTCTTATAATTGTGAAAGATCTTTCCAAAGCAAAAGTCCTGGAGGCAGTGGCTGGAGAGAAACTCTATAACATTATTGTGAACACAGAGGTAAGTTTATCACTTTAGTACAGAGCGCTGGATTTCGAGATGTGGTTGTGTGATTCAGGGCTGGCAATCATGTGCATTGTTACTGAATGTTTAGGAGGGGGTTTGAACCCATGTACATCTTTAAATTGAGTCAAGAGAGCCGTGCACAGTTAGTGGCAACAATGTATTCTTTTTCGAATGCCCCCTTGTCTGTCTTTAGAAAATCAGATGTTTATTCAGGTATGCTTTGTAACTTTCATTTCAGGTGACTGGCAAAAAGCTTTTAGAAATGGGTGAACTAAAGCATCGATACACCATCATTCCACTAAACAAAATTTCAGCCAGATGTGTTCAACCAGACATGGTCAAGCTGGCCCAAAGCTTGGTATGTGGATATATACACTATTTACACTATATTGCTCGTGTCCTGTTTTCATTTTGTTTCTATGTTGAAAACGTGGGCTTCTTAATGGTTAAACTAATAAGAATTTTTATAGGGTCTGAGAGTATATTGATTTTTTTCTTTTGTATCCTTTCAGCTGTGCAATTTTTAAATGGGTATTAATTATTTCACTAGTAACTGAAATAGTTTTAAAATATAATAATGCTTTTAAAAAGTGTTTTTATGAAAGAAAAGACAAAAATTAAGTTTGAAAATTCTTACAACTTGCGGCATACTAATTGGATTTAATTTTATTTCTAGGTTGGTCACGATAACTTGCATTTAGCCTTAGCCATAGTTGCATATGAACCTGAACTGCAGAAAGCAATGGAATATGTCTTTGGGGCAACACTGATATGCAATAACATGGATAATGCTAAGAAAGTGACCTTTGACAAAAGGATAATGACGAGAACTGTTACTCTTGATGGAGATGTGTTTGACCCCCAAGGCACTCTGCATGGAGGCAATTGCTGGTTTTATTCATATAATAATATTGTGTGTCGATGTGTTTACTGCTCTGCATGCTTTCTATAAGAATGAACAGTAACCTTTTTGTGTAGACTCATACTGGGAATGATATCATCTGTTTGAACTAAGATTGTCTTGAGCTGAAATATTTTTCCTTAATCTAATTAAAATTAATAGAAAACTATTTGTTTAAAGTAATTTAGATTTTAGATACTTAAATCTTGGTTGTATAATCCTCTTGGAAGGAGAGGTGCTTTATATTCAAGCACTTTTTAAAGTAATTCATAATGTATTTGAGATAATTTCATAGATTATGAAAAGTTAGTTCTTTGCACAAGGCATGCGTGTGTGGTATTCAAAGCCTGCAGAACTAAGTTTTGTAACAGAGGAGAGAAGCCATAACTTTAGCCTAGCTGTCTTGTCTGTTTTGCAACTAAATCACCAGCCTGCATCATTATTAACGTTTAGAATTTGCTATTACCAATGGTGAATCCACTAGTCTAATTCCTATTAGCCTGGCTTTTTGGTTTTTTTTTACTGAACAGGTGCATCCTCACAGGCTGCACCAATATTATCTAAACTTCAAGAAATGAAAGATATTGAAGCAGAACTCAAGGCAAAGGAATCTGAAATTGAGACTGTAGAGAATGAGTTGGCAAGCTTGAAGAAGGTTGCTGAAAAGTAAGGTTTGCACTATAAAATGTGTATCATTTATGTGACTGAGTAAATTTAATATAAAGAAGTGTTTTGGGAGGCCACAGGGCCTTTTGAGAATGGAGAAATATGGAGATAATTATTTATTCCCTTCCTCTCTCCCACCACAGTTTAATTTGTAAGTTCAGCAATCAAAAAGCAAATTTAGTTTTTAGATAACATATGCAAGAAAACTTGGCTGTGAGTAATATAGGGAAAAACAGTGATGTCTACTTGAAATCACTCGAAGTTTTCTAAAGTTTCATGAAGTGCACTGAAGAATGGATCTGTTCAGCCATATTAACACCCATACAGAATTCCAATTTGTGATATCTCTTACTTTTCTTGCAAGAAAATATGAAGATGCTAAAAAGGAGTATGAACTGTTTAATGGTTTAAATTACATGATTTTGAGTATATTTGATTCTCAGCTACTCAATTACTGAACATCTTTTTAAAAGATCTAATAGAAAAATGTGTTATTTCTGCAAAAATGCATAAGAACTTAGTGTTGCATAGTATGCTATCTACTAGGTAGACAGCATTGTTTTGAGTTGCAGTAAACTTCCAGAAATATAGCCAAGAGGAAGGACTTTTACTTTTAGATATTTTTTCTTCAGTGTTTCAGCCTAGCATCTGTTGTGATGCTGGTTGAAAAAACAGTGATCTCTGAATTGCGGTTGTTTTTAGTATGTCTGATTTGGGCTACAAGGCAGGAGTTACATGTATGATAACTTGCATGCCTACAAACCTCACAATTACTATTATAGCAATTATATCAGACTTTCATTCATTTAAGTGTATTTGTCCAACAGTCATCACTATATCTCACATTAGAACAGGAATATAGGTATTTATCCACTTACTTCAACTTTGGAAGGGTGGTGCTGTGTACCTCTCGATTTACAGGAGTGTGTCACTGCTGTCTTCAAAGGTACCGGCAACTGAAGCAGCAGTGGGAGATGAAGTCTGAGGAAGCAGAGCTGCTGCAAAAGAAGCTTCATCAAAGTGCTTATCACAAACAAGAGGAAGAACTGCTCTCCCTGAAGAAAACCATTGGTGACAAATGTGTTCTTACTCTTTTAACTGAAAATCAGTTGCTGAGAGTGAGATGGATATCAGGTTGTTTGAGTTTGCTTAGTAAGAAAGCATTGAAAAGAAGTAGTGTTCATATAGCTAAGGAAAAGCAAACATAAAAGCACAAAATGCAGCAACAAGTAAAACTTATAAAGACAAAAATGGACAGAAGTGATACATATCTAGACATAGTATTCTAGGGGTGAGGTATCTTATTAAGTAGCCATCTGATTAATTACTTCTTGATCATGTGATTTGGCATATGCTTGCCCCTGTAAAAAACAAAAAAAGGAAAAAAAAAAAGGCATATTTTCCTTAATTTTAATGACTGGTTGCTTGTTTGGTTCCCTACCAATAAATGGTAACAACAGCACACTGTCTTAGGATAATCAGTGAAGTATCTGAATTCAGAAACTAGTGACTGTACAACAACTTTTTTCTGTTGGGGGCAAATACAGATTTACTTCAGTTGGAGTTTAGGATGTAAATTTAAAGATGAAAACAGTGCCCAGTCTCAGTACTGTTCTTCTTGATTCAGCGGAGTGTGAAGAGACATTAAATAAAACTGAAGAAAGAAAAAAGAAAGTAGAAGACAAATACAGGGAATTAGAGAAAAATATTAAAAATGCAGAACCAGAATATGCAGAAGAACGAAAAAATGCTGAACAGGCACTAGCTGCTGCCAAGAAAAAGGCAGATGCTTCAAGCAAAAAAATAAAGAATATGCAACAGGTAAAACTTTCCCTTTGTTGACAGTTTTCTTGATGATAAAGTGGTTGCAGAAATCAGAAAGTTTGATTCTCCTGAGGTTTTAATACTGTCAGTTCTGAGACTTAATATACTACTCTGTAGTCACTGACACAGGAATTGCTAAAGTTTTTTGTTTGGAGGTTTTGGGGTTTTTTTGTGAGATTGTCCTCTTGCTGAAGAACGGGTGCTGTTAATCTTCTACAGCATTTACTACATCAAACTGAATCTTAATTCTTTCTATTTAAATACAACTGCAATAAATTGGAAAATGTCTCTTCAGGAAGTCAAAGCTTTAGTTCTGGAACTTGAAGAGCTGAAACAAGAACAGGCTTCCTGTAAACAACAGATAGCAGCTGCAGAGGAAGCAATCAAATTCTACCAGGAGCAAGTTGATGCTATGGCAACTGAGGTCGCTAAGGCAGAGGTAAACGTGAATACTGTGTTTCGTTATCCATTTTGATGTTTCTGAAGGTGTGATCCCCTAAAAGTCACATTATAATGTATATTTTGCTCTTCAGATTTGCTTACCAGCACTCAATCTGCCCAGGTAGTTTTTTTTTTTGCTTGGTTTTCACATGTGAATTTTTTTCTACTTGCTGTGTCTGTTCTAGTAAGGGTCTAACACCAGCCTTTATAAGAGGTTAATAAATGCCTGTTTGATTTGCTTTTCAGGAATCTGTAGAGAAATCACAGAAGGAGCTGACCAAACAAAAGGAAGTAATCATGTTACATGATAATGCAAATAAAGAAAAATCTGAAGAGATGCTAAAATACAGAGAGCAAAATAATGAATTACATTTTAAGATTAAAGAATTAGAACATAACATCATCAAATGTCAACAAGAGGCTGCTGATGCTGCCGCCAAGGTATTTCAGAATTGTACTTTTCTTTCCATCTTGTGGCCAGGAGTGGTTATTTTCCTTGCCACGTGCAAAGGAAATACCCTTGTTTTTCTTAACCACTATCATTTGCAATCCTTGATGTAAAAACTTATCCCAAGAAGATGGAGTGAAAATTGTACATTGTAACAGAGTTTAATCTGTAGGGACTAAGGGAGAATAGATCGCAGTGAGAAGGTGATCACTAAGAACAATCTAACTGTATGGACAAATTAGGTAACTAATTACAGAAGGTAATTCCAAGATTAATGGCATTAGTGTAGTCCAGATATAAAGAAAAAAGTGTTTCAATTAAGTAAGGTATATATGAGAGCTACCTTAAAATCTTGGTTTGTGTACAGTCAAGGAAATCACCTGAAGCAGTGTAAAAATACGTACTTTTGCTGCATTGGGGTAGAAGAATTAATGTTGTAGAGTAATTTTAGGATGTCGATTTGGTTTTTTTCTGTTATTTTATTCTTGTCATTTGAGAAGGGTTTGGGGAAGGCCTCAACATGTCTTATTGTTTACAGATAACCAAAATGCTGGCAGAGCACAAGTGGATAGCTTCAGAAAGAGCATTCTTTGGTCAGCCAAACACAACCTATGATTTCAAAAATGACGATCCTAAAGAGGCAGTTCAAAAACTGCAGAAACTGCAGGACCTTATAGAGAAGTCAGGAATGAATGTGAACCCGAGAGCTATGAACCTGCTCGCTGACACAGAGGAGAGGGTAAATATTTCTGTACTTTAACCTAAAAAGATTGTGTAGTTTGGTATATGTTGTATACATGTACGTAATGTAGCTTTGTTTTCATATGCTCTATTTTTCAATACACCAAAAATAAAACTAGACTTTCATGAGATAGCACAAAATTTTTTGCTGGATCTTTTATACTAATCTTACATCTTTGAACTGTTCACTTGCACACCAGCTTTATAGGTTATTCATAGTCTTGACTTTGGATGGTAAAAATAATTATTTTATTTCCTACCCCAGCCCATCCTAAGTTGCAGTGTTAGGCAAGCTTTGTGGTATCTATTTGAGTATCTGAGAACTATTTACTGTTGTAAAAGTTGCAGATCAAAAAATTACTCATCTTCAAGCATGATAGCTTGAAGGTGTTCTAGAATTATCTCAAACTAATCTGTATCTTCAAGCTATTCCAGGATTGTCTCAAAACTGCCCACTAACTCACACTTAAACTGCTCTAGTACTGTTTCCTCCTATCAACCTCCAGAAGCACACTTTCTTCTATGGAAAAGCAAATGAAACATGATTGACGTGGAAGTGCAAGTTTCAGAGTACTGCTGGCCTTCCCCTTTGCCGACTGTTGAAAATTCCCATGCCTTAATTTGCAAACAATATCCCCAGATTTACCTCCTTCATGCAACTAAATGAATGCATTGGATTTGTCTCATGTTTAATGACTATTTCATAGTTAAAAAATGACATGGTAAAGCTGTAAGAATAGCACAAAATTTATTTCAGCACAAAATTCATTGAAATTAATATTTTCTTCTCATTTCTTTAGTACAATGACTTAATGAAGAAAAAAAGAACTGTAGAGAATGACAAGTCAAAAATTCTTGCAGTTATTGACGAGCTTGACCAGAAGAAAAAAGAATCTTTAGACATTGCTTGGAAAAAGGTATGAAACTTGAAATCTAATCTTCATGTTTTAGCAGAACATCAGATTTAACTTAGATAACTGTTTTGTGTATTTCCATGGGAAAAAAAGGCTCTTTTCAAAAGTAATATCCCTTACCTAGTATTTAAGTTATAAAACAACCACTTAATTTCTCCTGTTTAATCTCACTTTTGAGAATAAGATATTCTCTGAGAATTGTAATGATCCAGTTAAACCTGCAAAACTACTTCACCATTCCGTTTCGGTGCCCACAAAAATTTAAGGAATATTATACTACTGGCCTACTGAAATACAGGATTTTTTTTTTTTTCTTAAAACAGTATTTCACCAGAGTTAAAATCTTCTGGTTCCCTGTAGCCCCGCAGAGTGTGGGGCTGTGGACCTGGGATACTGTTCCTGTTGCTGATAGGATACCTAATTTTGGGTTAGAGCATCTAATTTATGTTTCTATTACCTAAACACTCTGCCTTCTTACTAGTTCTTTCATTAATGAAAACTATAAAAAGGTATAAAATGTTCTCTTTGTACATGGAAAGCTTTTGACACATTCTTTTCCACTGTACCACGAGAACTTGTACTTTTTGGCCTTTGAGAAAATCAATTTTATCTAAGATTGAATTACACACAAAGTATTGGTTTTAATTATTACTGCCTGTACTCACTGACAAAATGGTACCTTTTCATTGCAAAAATCTTGTTTGGCAAAAATTGGTGAGCTGTATTCTGAAGCATCATGGGTGGTGAAATAAGTGTGTTTTCAGATACATTACATAACTTTGAAGGTTTTAATTTGCATTTGCAAAGTTGCATCTCATCCAATACCTGGGCATTGCTTAAGTAAACATGGGAAGAATAAGAGTGGGGAGGATGCCAGGATGTACCTCTTACATGGTGATTATCATAGAATCATAGAATCATAGAATAGATTGGGTTGGAAAAGACCTCCAAGATCATCAAGTCCAACCCCTGATCCAACTCCAATTACTATATCATGGCACTAAGGGCCACATCCAATCTCTGCTTAAAAACCTCCAGGGATGGTGAATCCACCACCTCTCTGGGTAGGCCATTCCAATGCTTGATTACCCTCTCTGTAAAGAATTTCTTCCTAACATCTAACCTAAACCTCCCCTGGCAGAGCTTGAGCCCATGTCCCCTTGTCCTGTTGTTGGTTGCCTGGGAGAAGAGACCAAGCCCCACCTGGCTATAACCTCCCTTCAGGTAGTTAAAGAGTTGAGTAGTGAAAAAACTGCAGTTAACTCTAGGTAGTAGTGACATAGTGTTGAATTAAATGCTCCTCTCTTTGAACTGTAATCTTAAAAATCTATATAGACAAGATTTGCCCCAGTATAAAAGTAGTGTCATGGCAACAATTTTCATCTCCAGTGACTACAACTACTATGTAGGGTTTGTGCTGCTTTGCAAGTTAAAAAAATGTAACAAAGCAGAAACAGAATTTTGGAAGAGGTGAGACAGATACAAAACTTTCTAAGGATGGAATAGTTCAAGAACTGTACACTGAAAACCATCTTTGCAAAACCCAGAATTGAAAATAGAGCAGAAACATGATTTTAAATATCATCAACCAACTAACCTGATATCTCGATAAAAAAGTAAGTAACATTCACCATTTCTGACAGAATGCATCACATTTTGAAATGGGAAGCTGCCATTCCATTGAGAGAGCATTTTAGAATCATAGAATTGTTTATGTTGGAAAAACTCTCTAATATCATAGGTCCAACCATTAACTTAACACTGCTGGGTTGACCACTAAGCCATGTCCCTAAGTGCCACATCCATACGTCTTCAAAATCCCTCCATGGACAATGACTCAATCACTTCCCTGCACAGCCTGTTCCAATGCTTGATAACCATTTCAGTGAAGAAATTTTTCCCAGTATCCAATCTACATCTCCCCTGGTGTAACTTGAGGCCGTTTTCACTTATTCTGTCACTTGTTTCCTGGGAGAAGAGACCAACCCCCACTTGGCTACAACCTCGTTTCAGGTAGTTGAAAAGGGCAGTAAGGTCTCCCCTGAGCCTCCTTTTCTCCAGGTTTAACAACCCCACTACCAGCTCCTCACAGGACTTGTGCTCCAGCCCCTTCACCAGCTTCATTGCCTTTTAACAACTGTTTTCATAACCCAAAACCTTTCAGACAAGAGAGTAAATCAACTTTCTTTTCTCCATCCTAGATCATTGGTGGCCTTATCCTTGATTTTAACCATGCTTCTCTTCAGACCTGCCCCAGTTTACATCTTAGATGAAGTGGATGCAGCCCTTGATCTCTCTCATACCCAAAATATTGGGATGATGCTTCAAACTCACTTCAGGCACTCTCAGGTATGATCTTGAAACTATTGTGGTCATAGAATGGTTGGGGTTGGAAGGGACCTTGAAGATCATCTACTTCAACCCCCCTGCCATGGGCCCAGACAGCTTCTACTGGACCAGATTGCTCAGAGCTCCATCCATTATTTCCAGAGGCAGTCTGTCACTGAGGACTCTGAGCTGTTCACCTGTGTGTTGCGTTTCTGAGTTGTTTCAACTGGAAGTTACACTGATGATATGGCAATGGTGAAACCTTAACATGTCTTAATGTAAGCTGTTGCTGCAACGGTTAGAAGACAAGTAGTAATAGGAAAGAATATCTGTGATAGGATCAGTTTCAGGCATGACCCACACCCTGAATTCCTTTTTTTCCCAGAGTTCTTTAACCTGAGGTTAAAAATATTTCATGTTGAACCTAGTAAAATAAGCCAGGCACTAGTGGAAAGAATCTCTGTATCACTGAACCTATACATGAAAAAAAGGTAGTATGTGTCTATTTGGTGTTAGGACCTCTTCAAATTATCAGAGAAAGGAGGGGAACATTCATTACTGGCATGGTAAAATGATTAGAACAGTGTATTTTGACTATGAAAGATCCTGCATTCTTACAAAATTAGTGGCAACATTTTTTTTCCAGTGTCTGATGCACCATGAATGGGTATCCAGTGTTGTGGACTGTATCCCAGGCCACACACTGGGATAGGGACAGGGATATATGTTATTAATTGCAGAAAATGTCTGGCTTGTGGGTCTGCTGGGTCTTGGTTAAGTTTAGAATATTTTCTTAAGAATTACCACCTAGTTTCTAGCCAAATTAAGTAAAAGGACTTCTCTCTTCAGAAGCCTTTTCCATTGTTGCCTAAAGTCTTTATTTGGATGGCATCACTTACTTCAAGCTTTTCTTGTTTTTAGTTTATTGTAGTGTCCTTGAAGGATGGAATGTTTGGCAATGCGAATGTCCTCTACAAGACCAGGTTTTTGGATGGTGCATCCACTATCACAAGATACGATCAAAGAAGACCTATTAGGTCTCCTGGCAAAAAAAACAAGAGAGCAAGTACGAGCCCTGAGAGACAATGTGTAAAGTGGGGACACTATAGCCCTCAGTGTGCAGGAGCAGGTTCTTAAGTGTGTTTTTATACTTTGAAGCTGTAGAATGGTAGTCAAATTAGATTTTCCTCAGTGTTTTACAGCATTCAGAAGACCTGTTACAAAGTGCAAACACTATCTTCCTTGCCTGTTGTTAAATTCCAGAGAAAAGCGAAGCAATTTTTGAGCGACTATAATTGTTATGGAGCAAAGCAATCATCAACCACTCACTCCCAAGTTACTTTAACAGTATTTGCAAATTGCTGTTAAATATTGATTTCATGGCCTCATATTCCATGTATATATAATATATACAAAGAATGTAAGAATGTACATATAATATATACAACAAAGAATTTGTGTCTCCCCTAACCCTGCCTGGTTGCAAACTCTGGGCTTAAAAAAAAAACAAACAAAACCAAAACAGCAAAACAAAAAACCCCTAAGTTCCTTCTAAAACTGCAGAGCTACCATCCATATCCATGGGGTGAGGGGCAAAGCAGAACAGTAGTGCACTTTGAGTTTGGAACACAAGGATGCTATAAAATACCCCAAGAGAAAAAACCACCACCAGTCACTTCGAGGAACAGGTCATGCAACTTTTATTTAATTTTACCTTTTTGGTAAGTAGGAGGATTTTCTTTCAGTCAGACCATTCACATACTTGGACAGTACAGATTGCAGTGAATTTGATGGAGATCTTGCAACATTAGAAAACTTTTCTCAATATACATCCATTTAAGGAACATCTTGTAAGTCAGAATGAGAGTGCTAGAGTCAAGTCTGCGCACTGCACTCCGGGTATACAAAGCATCGCAGCAGCACAAGAGATGCCCGTGCTGGGCAAAGTACAGTGTGTTTTACATAGTGCAATCACTTTTAGAGGAGAAACTTAAGGAAGGTCACATCTTTTTTTTTTTTTTTAATCCTATCAGGTTTACAAATGCCAGGGGGGTAGAAATCAAACCTCTGACCTAATTAACTTTTGTACAGGTAGGTTTTGTGTATAGGCACATGCTTTAGAGAGGAGTTCTGAATCTGCTCTGTAATCACGAGAAAGACATATTGCTTTGTGATTCAGAAAGTGTCATACCATCTCTAACCTTCCTAACACTCTTGGCCAGAGTTGTTAATCCAGCTGTTTATAGAGTTCCTAGAATACGCTCTTCCCTCTAGTATAAATCCCCAAAAGAGAAATTCAGGTTGCTATTGACAATGATTAGTTATTCTTCGTACAGTCATTAGACCATACCAGGCATTGCCTCTGAATACTCCAGTCCACAGTGAAAACTCAAATTACCAGAGACATGGAGGTTCTTGCTTTTCTGTTACTGTCACTCACCAATATGAAAAAACCCAAGTCAGACAATGAACTGCTACAGTAAAGCATCACTGGTAATATTCACCTAATACAAAAAAAAGAAAACTCATGACACTACATGTCACGGTAAGCAACTTGTTAAAGATACTGCAAAGTGATTTGCCCAGTAAAATCTTTAAATTTACACTGTACTCAATAGTTCAAACTACACGTAAACAAAGAACAGCTCCCTGCAACAAGGTGTAAATCAAAACATTATAGCACCAGCTCCCAGCACCAAGGAGTTGCCCACTGACCAGTTCTAGTGTACAATGTGTAGTGCTCGCTGAGGTTTCTGCTACACGAGAGCCACAGCGGGACAGCTCTGCCTGTCCATTTTTTCCTGACATTTTCTTACCAAGTGTTCACAAATTACATTCCTTCCACGAAGAGCAACAACGAGATTGTTACAGTACCAAAAAACACTGACAGGGAAATGGCACCTGAGGGGAAAGTAGGTACTGCATACCTGAATCTGAATAAATGGGCATGGAGGAAACATGATGTCTATCATCTGAGCAACCCTCTCCCTAACAGAGCAGATCCAAAAGAAGCTGCAGACTGTAAGAAAAGAAATACACCTTCCTGTGCTGAAAACCATGGATGTGATATTGCCCACATCAATGATTTTATTTCACCATCAACAAAGCATTTATCCCCAAAAAGCTGTACACATACTGGTCAGGTATGTGTACATAGCCATGCTATCTTCACACTATTAAAAGTCTGTTGCTATAATGGTCAGGTTTGTCTTTTATTGGAGGGGACCAAAAAAAAAAGATAGGCAGCATGGCCACATCACCATAGAGCAATTTTACTCCCATGTTACTGCAGATATAATCTTACTTCTTAAGTGCAAATTAAAAAGTATTTGCTAGAAACCATTATGACTTGGGCTCTGATAAATGACAGATGATTCAGTTTCTTACAAATATTGACAAGTCTAAATTGTTACAGGTTTCCAAAGCAAGAACAAGTTTACGAACAGGAAGGGAATAAAGCATTACCACTCTTAAAAAAAATGTGTCATTGCAAACTTCAAACGCTCTTCAAAAACATATCTAGAAAAGATTGTTTTCAGGGTTTTTTTCAATTTCCTGGAGGTGAGGAGTGTTCATGCAAAACAATTTTGAGAAGAGCAGTGTTCCACCTGGGTACCAGTTAGCCCCAACTTTGTCCCACACAGCTCAGTTAAGTGCTCTCTTGTGCATCCTTTGAGGAAAAAAGTTCTCATTTAAAGTTTGGGAGGCCGAGGTTGCCAGCTGGGGAGGGCATAATCTCGGTCAATCCATGTTGAGGTCAGAGAAGGAGGAAGGAGCAAAGTTAACAGTACTCTGCCTTTCATCATGCACAAACAACAGGCTGCAAGGGAGGAGCAAGCAGATGCAGAGGTGGGTGTCAGATGAAACCCTGCCCCTGGGACGCCACAGGACTTAAAATACATCCCTCATCAAGGGAAGCATTTAGTTAAGATGAACACCAGCACTATTGCAGAGTCCTGAAGATTTCCTGTTTATACACCAGCTAACAGATCTCTACATACACAACAAGTGAAAATCACATATGCTTTCACTTTCTGCACTGATGGTTTTTCAGCAGTTTCTTTGAAGGACAAAGGGGATGTAACATTCTTTTGCTGATTTAAAGAAAAAAAAAAAGCATCTTGCCCTTGCATTTTTCATGTTGCACACTTACATTCTAGGGCAGACTGTTAGAGGTATTTACTGATAAAACAAGTAACCATCAGCTAAAAAGAGTAAAAATAACATTAACGGGGAAAAGAAATTAAGGCATTTTTTATTTTGACCAGGAATGATGCAACCTACAGAGTAATCTTCATTTCCCCACTTGGTTTTCAGACCACTGCACTTTTTTGTCTTTGGTTTACATGGCACTTTGAAATTTACTTTTTACAACTTAATCAACATTTTCAAGTGTTTTCTTCAATACAAAAACCCTCTCTTATAGCTTGTCACAAGAAGTTATTTGCTCTCTGAGTTAAAATCTTAAGGTGAGTACCTTAATAATCTTCATTTCATGAGGATTGATATCTAAAAGAAAACTTTCTCCAAAGGAGTGTCTGAATTGGTAGCTAGTGCTAAAGTGGGTGCTGCCTTCAGGCACAGCAGAAACAAGAGCCACATGCAGATATGTGAACCAGGGCTCTGTTACAGTCATAGGACAAGTGGGAACACTACCAAAGTACTGAAGAGTCCCATGACTGTCAACATGCCACAGGTAGCATTTGTATCCACATGGGCATCCAGCTCAGGGAGAGTACAAACTTCCTGAAAACCTTGGAGCTTCATGCACTGGCTATCTGAGAAAATTTGGGGTATCTCTTGGATACTTGGATACTATAATCTTGGAAACATAATGCATATGTATCCAAGAAGCCTTGAACTGTGGAGGAGAAAAATATTTTTTTTTAAGATCAGGAATAGCTTGATTACGTGGGGTCCACCTTCTCCATGAAGAAAATTACTGTGTTTCTGATTTGCAGTTCTGAGAGGTTGCACAGCCCGCGGTCTACCTCTCCTTCTCCTTTAAGAGCCCTCTTGCACCAGAGGAGTGCACTTCTCTGTGCACTGCACTCTGCACAGTACAGTCTCAAACAGTTACTGCAATATCACAGGAATCACAGTCCAGCGCAAGGGAGGGCAAAACGTTACCTCTGACATCTTATGTTCATTGTATTTCCTCTACCAGCCAACCCCTCAGAGGACAAATGTATTAACAAGCAATTCATCAATCATAAAACAAGAGAAATCAATTTACCTAAAGAATGGGTGATAGAGGAACAGGTTTCCAACAGTATTTCTGTCAAAGCCACAGGATTGGAGTGCTCCGCATCAAACAGCATTAGCCTGTCAAATGCAAACACAGTTAGGCACCCTGCATCACCGAGAAAGAAGTCTGTTCAACTTCTCCAAGAATCCAGTGTCATCCTCAAGTTCATTAAATAGACTGAAGCAAACAGAAGACAAATCACTGAAGTGGATTGCAGAAAGAAGAATTACCCTTGAAAGTAGGCATTCATGGTTTGTAGCACTCCAAGCTGCACTTTCCACGTGCTGAGTTTCAGATGGTCACACATCAACTTGCAAAACTCTTGGCGATAGCAACCTACAGGAAAATAAGAATGTCGTTGTGTTACCACAGAGAAAGGCAGAAGGAAACACTTCCTAGTCTGTTTCCCAGGTGCTCCTCTCCAAGTGACATCAAGCTAGTTACTGCATACGACCAAGTCAACATCCTGTAATGCGTGACCCTGACAATCTTCATATCAACTCACTCGTGCAAATGCTGGAAGATGAAACAGTTGCATTACACACTCTACCATGCTAATAAAAGCAACTTTTTTCCCCTCCCAGATATTCCTAGTTCCTCCATCCTCCATCTTCATGTCTGCTTTGATTCAGACATAAATGGGAGCAGCAGAACTAGGCTGCTTTTCATCAGCTAAGCCACCTCAGGCATCCTGCAAGTCTGCAAACTCAGAACACTTTTGTGAAGTGAATTAAGGACAACAGTAATGGAATTTCCCCAAGGATGGGTTACTCTGCAGGAAGTAGCAACTTTCTCACTAATATCTTGCAAGTTGCAGGCAGCAAGATCCTGCATCTTCTCAAAAGCCTCCCCACTCCCCACATGATCTCCAGGTTCCTCCCTCCCTCCTGCTTTTCATTTTAAGAGGAAACCGTTTGCTCTGCACATCATTAGCTGACTTACGCTGTGTCTCCAGACTCCTTGGCCAGGCTTTGCCCAGGGTCTCGAAGGCACAGATCAGGGACTCCATCTGCACCTCTTTCTCCCTCATGTCTTCGTCCTCTTCATCATGCTTTGGGAAACCTGCATCCATGCTCTCCAGGGAGTTCTGCGGAAGCCAAGGGGGAAGGTATGATCGACAGAAGGATAAAGGCAGGCTAGGTACACACTGCAGTGCAGCTCAGCCTTCCCTGGTGTCTGCACACACCAGTCCTTGTACCCAGCCTGTTCCTCCACACAGATGGGGACAGACCACTGGGGCTCTGGCGGCTCAAGCGGTGTCGGTAGCCTGTGGGAGTGCACCACAGGCTCTGTGGCCTGGCATCCAAACATTTGCCTGTGCTGTACGAGTCCCACTCGCAGAGCTGCCAAGCTCTGATGATACTAAACAGAAGCACTCTACACAGCTTCCCAGGAGTCTCCTGCTCCCTGTAGAGCAGCCAGAAATTAACTTTAATGCTGTATCATGGAAGTGCTGGACACCACAGGGAGGACTGTCTAGAGAACAGTTGTGGTAATTCAGAACTTGGGCAGCACAGGTATAATCCCCCAGGGCTCATCAACAATCTGGTATCAGCCCCACCAAAGACCTGGCTGAATGTAGGGTTTCCCTTACACCAGCAGCTTTCTGGGCAGAAGCCTGGCACATGGCCAGCATCAGCTGGACTGTCACCACTTGGATGTTTTGATTTGATAGAGAAGGCTCAAGAAGCTGAACTGTCACCTTCTTTATCATGGGAAAGACGATTTCTGTAAGTTCCTGGAACCGGTCTTCCTTTGTTGCCTGCAGCACCTCAGCCGCACAGCGCAGCGCCACCAGCTTATACTTCAGGTTCTCTTTAAGACATTCTTTCAGGACAACCTGGACAGTATCTTTGATGGTGGGCTGACCAGGCACTGACTTCTGTAGCTCTGCACTGAAATGCAAGGCACACAGGAACTATCAGACCCATGTTACTCTCTTCCCAAAAACGGTTTTTCCCAGATAGAAATTATTCCTATGCCCAGGCACTCAATTGCCTACTAGTGGTTGTAACAGAAGTTACACTCTGGTGCTCTTTCTTGCTCTTTGTCTGTTCTTTCTTTCCTCTTTTCTCACAGGCTCCAAGGCACTTACCCCCTTCACTACACTTCTACCTCTTCCTCTCTCTTTCCATTTAAGGTGTCCATCTTTACCCTTAGTCTCTTCTTTCCTCATAGCAATTCTGGCCTCTCAACATCCTCTTCCTCCCTAAATCAAGCACTTACTTCTGCAGGTCTCTCTGAAGCACCACTTGCCCCTCCCAGCTTTCAGCAGTAACCCCACACATCGATATGCAAAGTGGACAGAGACTTCTCAGGTGCTGACAGGAGATCAGAATGGCAATCACAAACTTTCCAGAGTCTCTTAGCACCCCATTAGGCAGTAGCACTGTGTCACCGCCTCCTTTTTGAGATCTCAGAACCCGAGGGTACCACCTCATTCAAGACACTTACCTGCACGAAAAGACAACACTGGCAATGACCTTTAACAGCTCCTCCTGCAATGAGTAAAATGGGCACACAGTCAAATGGCAATCCTGTCACACAGGGGAAACCTTTGTACTCTGCTGCAACAGGTAGTGGGGAAATATGCCTGTGACACCAATTGTGAGAAGCAATGTCTGTCTCCTCCTATTCCTGTTGTAGAGGTTGCAAAGGACTGCACTAAACTGGCAGCAGAAAGGGGCCTTGCAGTGCCTCTGAGCACATGCTAGTACCCCTCAAGGCTAGAATATGGTGCAGTGGAAGTAGTCTAAGTGGTAACCCAATTCCTAAAGCAATCTACTTATCTTCCCTGTCATTTGTGTTATCTGCTAAACGCAGGGCAAAAGAACTTACCTGTGCTGCTCTGCAGCACAGAACAGTATATTTCCTGGATCAAGGAACACATGCTACTGGGTTCAAAGTGATCCATGAGCTGACAGTTCCCTCTTACCTTCCCTGTCCAGGTTCTCCCTGGCAGGCCTTGCAGCAGTGCTGAGAGCACCATTCCCAAATGTGGTGGAACAAGGGAGCCTGTCTGTTTGGCAATTGATGCCATGGCAACTGCTCCCTGGGTTTTCATCTTCCAGGACTGGGACTGCAGAGCCCTCTGGGCGATGGTTATCAACTCCTGCATATATAGTCTGATGCCACCTTGAGTACCTGCACATCAAATGGAGGAAAACTGTAATTTTGCAACAAAACAAACAAAAAAATCTGATCTTATTAGGAAAAAAAAACAAAAATCCAAAACTACAAACAACAAACCCTCACCCTCCATCTCCCTAAAAACAAAAACCAAACAACTAGTTACAGATTTATTTGGGTTTTTGGCCATGAAACACATCAGAAAAGCCTACTTCAGGCAAAGGGGTAAAGAGTTCCTCCCAGGCTAGTTGAAGACAGATTCACTTTCTAGGGAACACCAAAGAAAGTCTTTGTTGTGTATCTAGACACAGAGCTCAGCTCAGTCCTTCCATATAGCAAACACCAGACATTGTGTTAGCCTGTTTCTAAGGAACAGAATTTCTTTTTTCGTTTTTTTCTCTCAAAAACAGGTCACTATAAAACCTTTTTGCAACTCCTGGTGACTGAGGGACCAGATCTGAAATCACATCACAGAAGCAGCCAGACAAACAATTGTATCATGCATCCAGATCTTCCTCTACAGACAGAACAGCCCTTTTATAACACAGATTCATTCACTGAAGTTAAAACCATAGGTATAACCAGGCATATCTCCAACCACAGACACAGGCTCTCTAACTTCAGAGTGTGCCTCAGCCCTTAAAGGTTAGCTTTAAAATTTCCAAAGATGTCCAGTTATCTGCACCAGGGTCAGAGCTATATTACAGTGGCATTCAGTGTCTCCCAATCTTAAAATACTTCTTTCAACTCTGTCTGTCCATCCTTGTGATCAATACCCTTGTAATTATTTTATATATAGCCAGAGAAGCTAACCTTCATCCAAGAATTTTCAGCAAGTAAGAAAATGGAAAAAAGTCTTCCAAAATCTTACTCCCAAAACTCTATATTTCCAAAATGGAATTCCAGAAAGCATGATATTTCTGGCCCCATGTTTCCCAAAAACCTTTACTAATCTTAACACAACTTACCAGGTACATTTTCCTGCCAAACTTCAGTCCACAGAGTAGAATTCTCTTTATCTCCTTTCTCTTCTTCAGAAACCTCATGCATTTCAAGAAAAGCCAATGACAGTACATGCTTGGCATGGTTCTTGAGTACATCTGGGCTGTAGCGTCCCATGGCATGCACAGTTAAAGCACAACCTGCTCTGTAAACTGACTCTGAAGGAGCAAAACAAACCACATTATGACTGGGAAGCAGGGATGTCCTTTTAACTGCTTGGTCTGCCTCTTGGGAAGCAGAGTAAGGCACCAATTGGTTACCAATGTATAGGAATTATTCAGCCAAGCATGCACAATATAGAAGTGTTTCTTTACTAGTTTTTGCCATAACCAGGAGCTTTTTCTGCTCTATATTCTGTAACTGAACACTCCAAAAGCAACGTACCTTCCTTTTCCATGTACCAACTGCTGAGTTTGTGCAACAACTTCTCAGTGCTACTGTCTTGGGAAGTCTGTAACAGGAAAGAGACTCAAATCGCTCAAACACTTCAAAAAAAACCCCATCAGCAAAAAAGCAGGATAAAACACAAATCCAACCCCAACTCACCTGGACTAGATGCCCCATAGCAAAGGCAAAGGACTTCTGCACCACACTGTTGCGATCCATCAGGCCACTAAGTAACGTGCTCATAAGTTTGCCTGTTGGAAGAGACCTTGTTTTCACAAAAGTATCATGTTTTATTGCTGTGGCAAGAATTACAATAGCCTGCATTTCATTAGACTGTCTGAATTTATGCATTTTTGTTCACTGCATGTTTGGGGGGCTATAGGTCTCTCTGGTCCTCATGCTTAAACCAGTGCTAGTGTTTAGCACACCCTGACTGATAACATTCCTCACTATGAGCACCCCACCTGATCATGCTTTCAGCTTTTTTTCTACTTTGCAACAGGAAGGTGATCTTCTTTCTACTATCAAATCACAATAAATTGTAAAAAGGGGGCCCAGTGATGCAAAGTCCTCCTTGTTTATGGTGCTCCCATAGTTCAATTTGAAGGAACAAATGCTTATTGACAGTGCATCACTAACACAGGGATTGTTAGTCTGCTCCCAGAGAGTCAAGAGATATTTTTACCTGTTCCTGCGGGATGTCAGTGAATTCCCTCAACTCCTTCCTCCGCCTCTTCCACTGTGGTGAGGTACTTAACACCCCCAGGACCTCAAACAAAAAGTCCTCAAGCAAAAAAAAAGGTAACTTCAAACAGCTCTCTGAGAAAGATACACGGTAAAGGTCACTCATGTGATAAAATCAAGGGAGGAAATACCACAACAACAAAAAGCACCTGTAAAACCCGACACTGGAAACAAACCGTACCTGAATAAGGTGTTAAGTCTTGAGGGCACTGTGTGGTTAATGACACAATTACACTGGCACAGCCTCCCTGGATGATTGCAAAGGAAAACAAAGGTAAGATAAAATAGTATTAGCCCCTAGTTATTACTGTTAATACTTGCTGGAGTGCTACATGCACTTGTATGACCTGATCTAGACCCACTCAGCCTCTATCCTAATAAGCCAAGGGTTGATGCAGTAAAACAGGTTGTAAAAAATTAATGACAAGAATTGAATTAGAAAGTGAAAAAGGACCCACACTCAAGACAGATGGTCCTGGAAGATTTACAATCAAGGACAACCTTCTGCACTCAAGTGTCACAGGAGCCACGTAGCCCAGGGGAGGTTAGGGCAACACACCTTCAGGATAGTGATGTAGTGGGTTGGGACTCAGATGTAAAATGACACTTCATCTCCATTTGGAAATGAAGAAGGGAATTCAGAGAAATATCAATGTAAATACGGTTCTTTTGACTATGTCTTTTAAAGTGACAGCTTGGTCTCATTCATACTGAACTATTAAAACCACAGACATACCTTTGTGCCAAGGCCTACTCCACTTTTGACCAGTTCCCACAGACGAGAAACCAGCTCACCCAGGATGGATATAACCAAATACTGCAAGCTCTAGAGAAAGGGAAGGGATGAGAAAGAGGGGAAAAAATGAAAAAAAACAAAAGCAAAACAAAAAAAAAAAAAAAAAAAAAAAAAAAAAAAAAAAAAAAAAAAAAAAAAAAAAAAAAAAAAAAAAAAAAAAAAAAACCAAACCAACCAACAACAAAACAAAAAAGAAAGGTAATGGTGGCAGACTTAAGCTGGTGTACTTCTAGTTGAGACTGTCTCAGCATTGATGCCTGGTCCTCAGCTGAATTAAGTTTGCTGCACTAGAAGAAGAAGCCACCACAAAGTGGTTTCCACCACGCAGAGCTTCTCTTGACCCACTTCTCTGCTGAGCTGACCTGGCTAAAATCATCATTTGCTGGAACTGATGTACTCCTGTACTCCAATCCTTCACAAAACTTGAAAGTAACATCTAGCAAGAACTCCTTTTGGAGAGAGAAAGAGATGCAGAGGTGTGCCTATCTCAGGACAATTTTCCCAACTGTCTGAAACCAGAAAGCAGTAACGTATCCAAACTAGACAATGAAATGAAACCAATCAAGACAGTTTTTAAAAAGGTCAAGACAAACAAGTGGTGTAAGTGACATAAAGGTATAAAGAAAGATATTATTGGTATAAATTCTAACCTGCTATACTTAAAAACGTCACTGGGTGAAATAGAAAGCCTCATGTTACCAGCACACTGTCTGCAGAGAGGAGATCTCATCTCTAGCAAATTTGAGGATCACATACTAAATGAAGGTAACTTTCTGAGCCTCAGAAGTCAGATAGCTGTTACTGCCCCCTTTGGTACTGGTAAGGTGAAGGGAATACTCCATATAATCTTCAGCTAGCCCCATAATGCAGAGAAGATTACTCATAAGCCAGGATGTCTTCACGCTACTCCAGAGAAGCCATTACTATCCTCTCCCCTAAGAAATCCCAATCAATAATCAGGGCACCACAACCGTCCCTTGAGGGTTGGTAGAGGAGAGGCATGTCCTGAAGGAGGGACAGCAGCAGCAGCTGCAACCTGTGGCATGGCAGTGAGTACATTTTTACATGGAGCCTTTCATTCCCAATCACTTTGCACACTATTTTTAGAATGTGTTTCACCTGACACCAAACCTCATGTCCCAGGTTGGACTTGGCTCCCAGCCAAGTGCCTGGACCCCCGGGGACAAAACCTTCCCCCTCCCTTTCGCTTTCTCCCAGCTAACCGAAAAAAAACCCGAAAGAACCCAAACCAAATAAATTTCAAATGGAAGATTTATATATGCATAAAGAAAATTATATACACTATTAACCAAAGGGAACTCCCCAAAAGGGAAAAGGGAAGGGAAAGGGGAAAGGGAAAAAGGGATAAAAAGGGATATAAATCCAAATACTCCCCTCAAGAGGAAGCGAGCCACACCACGCCACGGCTGGCAACTGTCTGCCTCTCAAGGCCAACCAGATGCGCCAGGCCTCCCTCCCTCACCCGGGCAGAGCGACAGTAGAGCTACCTCTACTTTGGGTCCGCCTGAAGAAAAATAGCGAGAGCTTCCTCTCTCTCCTTAATTATACTCTTGCTTACGTAAAAATTGTATGGAATACTGGGGACATGACCTTGGTTCCTTGGTTACAACCTGATCACCAAGGAAGGCCTAGATTCAAAACCACTACATTCTCCACCGCTTATTCCATACTATTTTTACGTAACATTTATATTTCACGTATTTGCTTATATCCCGGGCATATATACATGATGTCCAGAAAAAGCAGATAAAAAAACTGTTTAGACAGGGTTTTATGTCTAAAGCAGCAAGGTATTTATTGATTAACGGCCGGGAAGCCTGCCAGCTCGTGCTGGGAAAACAGGCTCCGAGTTGGTTAGGTTACAGTGAGTTTTTTATACAGGTTTGGTAATGATTACAACATAAATTACAATATTCATAACAGGTGGAGTTAGGGGCGGAGATTGAGGCGTGATTTCCATTTTGAGGAATATTTTGGTGGGAGTTCCTGTTTGCCTTCATCCTGGGGGTTGCTTTTTTAATCCTCATCCTCGCTTCACCTCGGGGACCTTTCATTCTTTCTATTGTTTCGTGTTCTGATCACTGAGGCTTCAAGAAAGTCTTGGCTTGGGGCCTATAACACCTATTGAGATGTCACCTTGGCTCCTCTGGGTGAGATTTATGGGCGCTGGGCCCCTTGCCCAGCGTTTATCGTGGTTCCTTCAAGGTCCGATGCCCTCAGCACAGGGCAGAATCTTCTTGTGCGAAATACAGTTTACAAAATATGGTTTAAGGCAGATTAAAAGTGTACAGGGGGGTGTACAGGGGGGTAGGGACCCTCATGGGCCCACAGTAAAAGTGTCCCAATTAATCCTTCCTGCTTCATTCCCCCCTTTTCTTAGAACTTACGAAATCTTTCGTCAAGTTCCAACGAAGTATGGGTGTGGTAATTTATATTACAGTCACATATTCAAAAGGATAGTAAAAAAAAAACCAAACATAACTATTCCTAATACAATGATTAATGATTTTGGGGGTTTAATCCAGTCCTGTTGTGTGTATGATTTGTTGTACTAATCAAGAGTCCAAGGAATAATATTGGAGTCTGCCAGTCCATGGTAGTGGGTTCCTTCAGGAATTCTCTTGGGGGTTCTCCGGAGTTTTCTTGACTCGGGAGTAGTGGATCCAAGCAGGTAGTTCCTTAATCCAGATCGCCGTGAAGGTGGTCAGTAGCCCCTGGTGTGGTTCTTCCCACTTTTCCTGCAGAGGTTTTCCTAAAAGATTCTGAACATATACTAATCACCAGGATGAAAAGGATGCAATTTACAGTCAGGTTGTTTGTCTATTACCACAGTGACATTTTTATTAAAATGTTTTCCCACTGTTATTACACTATTTAGCAGGATTTTGGTTACTTCTTTCTCTTTATTTGTCCTGCATGGGAATGCTTCAGACCACCCAGAAAATGTGTCTGTTAAAACAAGGAGGTGTCTATACCCCCCTTTTCTCGGAAGTTTAAAGAAATTAATTTGCCACACTTCTGTGGGGAATTTTTCCCTGTTAATTGCCTCTTTCTATATTCTAGTCCCTGTGTTAGGGTTATTCTTTTGGAAGCATTAATTGTCCTGTTTCTAACTGGCCCCACCCGTTATCTAGTATCTTACCTTTGTTTCTCTGTATTTACCTGTGATCTGAGTCTTGGTACTCTGGCTTAAAATTAATATCTAATTCCTCTGTAACTAAAGTTGATATAATTACCTCATTAGTTCTTGCAGCAGCTAATTTAGCTTCTGCGTCAGCTTTCTGGTTACCTATTTCTGGAACGGTGTTACCTTTCAGGTGTCCCTTGCAATGCATTATGGCCACTTGTTTTGGGAGTTGGACGGCTTCCAACAACTGTAGGATTTCCTCAACATGTTTTGCAGGTTTTCCTTAGGTCGCCAGCAGTCCTTTTTCCTTCCGGAGAAAGCACCATAAGCATATACAACGGAGAAAACATATTTAGAATCTGTCCAAATGTTTATTCATTGTCCTTCTGCCAGTTCAAGAGTTTGGGTCAGAGCTATTAGCTCTGCTTTTTGTGCTGAGGTTCCTGTAGGCAAAGGGTTTGATTCGATTACCTGTTCTGTTGTGGTTATTGCATAACCTGCCAGTGTCTCTCCATGCTTCGTAAAGCTGTTGCCATCAGTGAACCAGTCTTCCGCGTCTTCAAGCGGTCCTTCTGTAAGGTCCGGGTGGCTGGAATACACAGCTTCGATGGTTTCCAGGCAGTCATGCTCGACAGGCTGTGCTGACATTCTTCCTTCTAGAAATGAGGCGTGTCAGGTCTGGGCATCTGGCAGATGGTTTCTTTCCTTTCCGTTCCCAGGGATCGTTGTCCTCCAGAAATCTCGTATCCCAGGCATACCACTTTTTCTTGCACCAGTTGGGCTTTCTGTTGGGAAACTCGATATCCATTTAGTCCCAAGAAATTCAACAATGCTATAGTCCATTGTACACAATTTTCTTCAGTTTCAGTTGCTATGAGTAAATCATCTACATATTGTAGAAGATCGCCCTCTCCCTGTGGCCGTTCCCTTTGTTCCAATTTCTTAGATAATTGATTTCCAAATATTGTGGGACTGGTTTAAAAACCTTTGAGGTAAGACCGTGTGATTTACATTCTATTATGGGTTCAATTCCCTTAATGGGTATTGTTTTCTATGTACCGGTTTTGCTCCTGATTTTAACTCTATAACTACT